TCTGTCCGAAGGGTGCTGCCTGTCCGAAAGCCCATGGGACCTTCTGTCGACACGACGTATGTCTGTATCCTTAGATATCCCTCATTTGTTACCGAAAGTCGAGCACGTCACACGGTTGTATAAAACAGTCAAGGAACTATTCCGGAAAATTTCTTCTTTTGTCCCTTCGTCGAACCTATTGACGTAAGCAGTCACAAACGCGCCCAAGATCGATAAATGTTACAATTTAGCCTTTTGTTACGAAGTAAAAGATCACTTGGTAGTCAACTTCTCGAAAGCGTAAAACATAACAACGAATGTGAAATGTTGCGTATTAATCCCGACAAGACGTCTTTAATCTTGAGAAATTTTTACAAGGAGTATAACACCGTAAAATATAATTCCCGTCTTTTGTCACCTTCCACGTCTACCATAAAAGTGGTACAACCCTAATCCAATAATAGATATTCGATAAGTTGTTATTACATCGAAATTTTATTATTGATAAGATAAAAATACAAATCGCTCTTAAGATGGTCTGTCCTCTATCTTACACAGTACTAAAATCAAAAAAGACAAATCAGTACCGAAATAAGAAATTTTTAGTCTTGAACAGATGCTCCACTAGATACGGAGTGTATGCGCAGTAGGACTAGAAACGCATGACTATTTAAGTGCGCTATCCACGAGTGCCATAGGAGTGTGCGACAGATCGGATATGACACAGGGAAGCACAAAGAAGTAGGGTGACTTTGGGTGTACTCCGTCGGACACCTCGGAATGATTCTGGGCATCGCGTGAGCCTAAAAATGCTAAATCTCGCTCGGGATGTGAAGTCCCCTTTTGATGACCCACTTGCACTGTGATAATATCTGTAGTGGTAAAGGGAATGTGGAAGTTCTCGATATTACTGACTATGTTGTAATTGCAACTTCAGTTTCGAATGAATTTATGACCGCTTTCAATTGTATTCATGGACCTAGTTTCATGTAATGCATGTCAGGCTGCGTGACTCTCACGTCTACTTGACAGTCCCATGCCCTTTCCTAACGCCTTTTCCATCCCTGGCGTTTACTGACAGGATGTTTCGCCTTATCCAAAATCCGTGTTGCTCGAAATACGTCTCGACTATTGTTTCTTGTACCTCTACTTAGTTTACAAGCCAGTCGACGTCCTTTTATTCATTGTGTCTTTCTAGACTGGACTTTTTGTACCTCCCTTCTGACCTCCTCTTTTATGTACTCTGCAGATCACTTCGCGTCTGTGTATTGTCATGGCTGTCGCCTTGAGCTCCTTCGCTGTTCTGATTTATGTCCCTCCACATTGTGTTCTGCTCATTGTCGGCCGCGTCGGCCTCATCAGATGAGCGTACACGTGAGAGTCCCGATTTGCGAAATATATAGAAGGATTTTTTAGTACGTACCCGTTACGTGGAAATAGACCGTTTTTTCAACGATCGAAGAATCCTGTCACCAGAACCTAATCTTGGGGAGGAACTATTTTATGTTGTTCAAAACACGAATTAGAGTTATACAGTATTTATAGTTCGTAATAAGTTACCATATGTGATCTGGAGCTTACACATATTTTTTAACGGAAGAGTGTACAGCTCTATGCTGATCCGTTCCTTAAATTTATACTACGCTGAGATATCTTCTCCGGCTGTATATTTATGCTTAGTCTGTAGATGGTTTTCGCGACATCTCAATTTGTGTCACTATATACATAGATATTTTAGCTCCAGGGCGGAGTTTTATAGTAGGTTATTGAGGCATATATAATATCTTATGATGTTATTATTCATTATATATATATATATATCATTAATATTATTATATTCATAACATACATGGAAAATACTACCTTCGTTTTTATCTACACAGTAAAGTATGCACTTCCAACTTTTTTTCGATTCAAGTCACTATCGATATAATTTATCGTATGCAGTTGTACATAGTCACCTGGTACGTCATTACAATGGAAACTAGTAGTGTAGTTGTTTATAAGGAATTTACATCACGAGATAAAAAACAAAGGGGTGTGATGGAGACTCGTGAATACTATTTTGATCTCTTGTTCGTTTGGTTCTGAAATTTCAGAAGACTCTCTGTGCGACTCTGACGCGGGACTGCTACTTGACGTCCTACATCTGAGTCGAGACGCACAGGCCTCGGAGTCTCGCCGACCCCTGTGCACCTCAAACATCGCATGTTAGCTCGATTGGACTTGTCGCGTGGCAGTTCATGAGTGTGTAGTCTGTAAATCATAGAGAGGGGAATGAGTGGCTTTATACATTCTAGTACAAATTCTGATACGTTTCGAGGTAAATTTTTGCGTATTTGTGGGTATGTTGGTATTTGTTGAATTTCATCGGTTACCGTTAAAGTGGTGGAAATTAGTCTTGCTTACTAAAGATATGGACAAATCTAGGGCGGCCTACAGCTATCCATGTAGTGAAAAGACCCTACAGAGATAGGTACTTAATAACAGGAATTTAGGTGGTCAGTTGTGTACTTCAACTAAACTTTAGATTCGGCTTAGTCGTCACAAAGTTTAGCAGAATTCACTACGTCATCTTGGTTTTTGGGAAAAAGTTGACACTACGTCACTCCTTTCGCGTCCCGATTACTTTAGCACTATATCCTCCTAAATACATAACGTTGTACCTACTCTAGGTAGTAACGTTATGCTTACAGTTTCACTTTGTTTCTTATGCGGAATAAGTTCGATTTATATATTTACTATTTGAAATATCAGTCCGTATATATACTCAGCCCTTATTCCATAGAGACAATAATTGAAACTAAGTCATACGTTTTACTGCTGTGTATGTAGTTAACTTGTATCTAAGTTTAATCGGACGCGACAGAGGAACGTAGTGTCAGACTTTTGTCGCAACATCACCACGATGTCGTTAGGTGAATCTGCTAAACTTTGTGACCTAAACGATTTCTAAGTGTTGAGGTTATTAGGTACAAACTGAACCGCACCCTAATTTTCTGTTATTAGTATCCTATCTCTGTAGGGTCTTTTTCACTTCCATGGTAGGCTGTAGGCGGCCGTTAGATTTGTCCATTTTTAGTAAGACAAGACTAATTCACTACTTTAGACGTACGAGTGGAAATTAATCTAAATACCTCATCACCATTAATTACGAATAATATTTTAACTGAAGTATCAGAAATTGGTACACGCAATGTATAAAGTAACCCTCATTCGCTCTCTATTTGGATTTAACAGACTTAACACAGTCTGTACTGTACTGGCGAACCAAGCCTCGAGTAACTCGTCGATGTTGAGTGCCAGGTACGCCGAGACTCCCGAGGCACGTGGCGTCTTGACTTCGGAATGTTAGAGACGGTCAAGTAGCAAGTCCCGTCTTTCGAGTCGCACAAGAGAGTTGTCTCTGAAATTTCAGAACCAACGAAAGAGAAGATAATGTATATCAAAGAGTGCCCGCCATAACACCCCTTGGTTAGATTATCCTCGTGAGTGTTAAAGTCCATTATAAAACAACTACACTCCGGGCTAGTATGTTCATTTTGAATGAACGGTGTCCAGGTAAGGACTTATTCGCTACAACTGCAACTACGAATAATAATCTCGTAAGTGACTTGAATCGGAAAAAAAGTTGTAGAAGATGTCATCTACTATGTGTGATAAAACGCTAGTATATTATTTACATTGATGTTATACGGTTATTCTTGATAATTATGCGTATCTTATATATTATATATATATAATTGCATATAATATGATATGTATAATATATATGTTCATATTATGATATACCGGCCCTGAGCTACTTTTTAATTTACGAATGTAATTAATGTCTGAAAATTAAATTTAATTAGTGCGTTGATAGCGTATAAATTAGCAGTATTTCATAGGATTCTTGTCACTCTTTCGTTAAAAAGAAGTGATACTAAATCATATGTAACTAACTTATGTCCTTGAGGTTTGTATTTCGAATTCGTTGTTTTTGAACCCAATAAAGTGGCTCCCATAGTAATGTGTTATGTTGTCTTTTCCGTTAAACGGTATTCCATCGTATCAGTATAATCCGTCTATTATCGTCGGTAAGTGCGAAGTCACATGGTCATCATCCACTGGAAGATATTTGATATTGTGTTATCGAAGTTCATGTACGTTTGTTAACATTTGGGACTGATTAATTTTTTGTGAGAGACCATACGAGTCTCGGTACTTGTCTGAACAGCTTACTGATGGTTGTAGAACTAAATTTTTTAGATTATGTAAAGTCAGTTGTAGGAGTTATTGGGCCCGGTTTGTGTATTGTCAAAGTTGTATTGTTCATGGGTCAAGCGTGTTGTTGTGATTAATTTATTCAATGTGTATTTGTCAACTGTAAATTTCTTTTTTATTTTTTGTCACGGTCCTAACCTTGGAGTATTAGGAGGTATGAAGAGGTTTAGATAGGACATACTTGTTTATAAATTTTAGAGAGACAACGTCATCCGGTTGTAGCAGACTAGTTGTCGCTATACCCACACTTCCAGGACTTATAGGCTCAGACGCGATTGCAGGTCATGCGATTCGAAGGTGGTGCGATCTTGACTGATATTTAAAATACGTTACTCCTTGAACTTCGCTGACTACTACGACGCGTCACTATACGCTTAAGGAAAACCGTATTGAAACGTTTGTTGGCACGAGAATAACTGCTGAAGGTAGGGCAGGCAAAAAATTTGTATTTCACAGGTGGGTGACCCCCGGTTGGTTTTTGCAGAGTAGATCCGATTGAGCAAGTGCAGACTGATACAAGTGACACCAAAACAGACAGACTTCATTGACTTAGCAATCAACTACGAGGGCATATTAGGCGTATAGGGGACTTTGAGTAGGTCCTCTTTGTCAAGGCTGCCACGTTTTTGTATTCCGCTAATTTACGCAATTAAAAAAATTGCGCCAATTATAAAACATTAATTTAAGTAGAATTATTGCGGCAATTCAGGGCCGTGGTATTTATTATTTGTATATTATACATTTGGCCGACACAGACTGAGACGCACCAAACATCTTCTGCGTGTACCATGTGACAGCGGCAAAATTAGCAATCAGACAAGTGAGTTTAAAATCTTGAAATAAAAGAATCGCAATATAATTCTTGTATTTCACTACCGACATGTTATATTTGATTATTTTCCCTTTAGATTCCATAGAGTGCACATTTTGTCCTGATGACTTCTGGTCAAATATTGACAGAACCGTCTGCGTCCTCAAGATAGTGGAGTTCTTGGCCTATGATTCCTTGGGTATAGCCCTGACAGTGATCTCTGTGGTGGGTGCCAGCCTCACTATAGCTGTCTTTGCTGTCTTTTTCTACCATAGAAACACAGCCATCGTCCGTGTAAATAACTCTGTTCTCAGCTTCTTCATCCTCTTTGCTCTGACACTGTGTTTCCTGTGTTCCCTGGTGTTCATTGGAGAGCCAACATATTGGTCCTGTATGCTGCGACACACTATTTTTAGTATAACCTTTTCATTTTGCATCTCCTGTATTCTGGGGAAGACCCTGGTGGTGTTGGCTGCTTTCACTGCCACCACACCAGGGGACAACATCATGAAGTGGCTGGGGCCAAAGCAGCAGAGGGCCATTATTTTCATTTGCACTGTAATTCAAGTGGTTATCTGTGCTGCCTGGCTCATTGAGTCTCCCCCTTTTCCATCCCGAAATACACAATACGAAATTTCAAAGATCATACTGGAGTGCAGCGTAGGTTCCAGTCTTGCATTCTGGTGCGTTCTGGGATACATTGGTCTACAGGCCTGCCTGTGCTTTATACTGGCTTTTCTAGCACGTAAACTGCCTGGCAATTTCAACGAGGCCAAGGTCATCACTTTTAGCATGCTGATATTTTGTGCTGTGTGGCTATCATTCGTCCCTGCTTATATCAGCTCTCCTGGGAAATATGCTGATGCAGTGGAGTCATTTGCCATTCTGGCTTCCAGCTTTGGCTTGTTGTTCTGCCTGTTTGCTCCAAAGTGTTTCATTATTTTACTAAAGCCAGAGAAAAATACAAGACAGCACCTAATGGGAAAATAAAAGTAGCTTATGATAAGTTGAAATGTATTTGAAATTCTAATCAATGTGCAACATTGTTATTATTATTATAATTGTTTTAATTATAATTATTATTTAATTATGTATTTCACAATTGTATTGACTGGATATTTGTATAATACTTATATTGCAGCTGAGCAACCATAGTACAGTGTACAAGGAAATAATCAAGTATACCTAGAAGGAGCATATTACTGTAATGTATAGCATAAATAAAGATATGTATTAAATAAGCAAAAAAGCTTTAGTGGTGAATATTCATTGGAATTTTGTAGGCTGAATTTTTTTGGGAAAATATTGTCTACTGATCTTTTACCTTGCTAAACTTTTGGGCTTTAGTTTAGATTGATCCATCGTCAATGTTTAATGGTTTTGTACAAACCAGTCAAGAAAACCAATAATACTTAAGTAAATATGTATTAAAATGCTCCCAAAAGACCATTTGCATAATATTGTGTGTTATTTTTTTCTGTGCATAATCAGGGATTGCCTCATCTTTTTATACCAAACGGTTATTGATGATTCTGCAACAGTGTGTGTTTTGACTTTCTTCTTCTTGCTGGGAAGCACACTGATTGCTACAACAAAAAAAGGAAATAATAAAGAATAAAATATGGAAAGTAATATTTAAATAATCCAGGCCTAGAGTCTTTAAAATCATCATCCAACACATTAAGAAAGAACCTCAAAGGAGCGGGATAAATATGGAGTCTGTCTTTTAAGAGGACAAGTAAAACAGTTTCAGTCTAAGGTGGCTCCTGATGCCGCTCATAAGAGAATTGAATTGAGATTAAATAAACAGCCCAAGTGTTAAGGCTGGGTCCAAAGTTCAGGACCTACAATGGCAGAGACCAGATGGATTCAGTCTTTTAACAAAATGTAATAAAGGAAAAAAGGAGCAACTAAAAAACTATCCACAAAATGAAGGTGGATCTAGTTCGCGCTCGTGGCGGTGGCAGGACTCAGGCTGGCTCGAGCAGACACTGGAAAAACAGAGGAAAAAACAAGGTTACTCTTCAACAAAAACAGCAAGAGAAAATCACACTAAGCTAGGCTACTACGACATTCAGCTCGACCGCGTGAGACGGAATTATCTGGCACTGGAGTGTGAACATGACCAGGGTTTTATGGAGGAGTTGATTAGATGAGTACAGGTGCTCCTCATTGTGAATCAGCTGAGCCTTCTAACGATCACCACACTGCACAGGAGAGAGAGAGAAGACAGAGGGGAGGAGGAGAAAGCAAAACACCTAAACCATAACACCAAGGACACTGCCAGATCCATGGTCAATGTTTAATAGTTTTGTAAAAACAAGTCAAGAAAACCAATAATACTTAAGTAAATATTGATTAAAATGCTCCTAAAAGTCTAACATTTGCATGATATTTTGTGTGTGTTTTTTTGTGCGTAATCAGGGATAGCTTCATCTTTTTTAACCAAGCTGTTATTGATGATTCTTGTAGATTGTGATTGTTGTTCTCGCGTCCAGGAGGAAGTTAAAAAGAGACAATGTGGTCTTGAAAAGGTTCAAAATGGGTAATTTAATAAAGTAACGTGGTTTTGAAACAGAGCAAATCAGGAACACAGCACCATGTTCGTGAGGGAGGGGAGAAGAGAGCGCGATTCTCCGTGAAGTGAGCTAATATCCTCTCAGGCTCCTCCTCTCTGACGAAAGGGGGTCCTCCCTCCTCGAGTTCTTCTGTGTCTGACATCGCGTAAATCAGAGGATTTAGACGTTGTGTGTTCATTGTATAACTCCACACGCCTTTTCTCCTCGTATTCTCATTCATGACTTTTTATTTAATGCATTTTAACGGCTGTAATCATTTTTAGCGTGAAACCGGAAGTGACGTCATTGTAAACAGCCTTTCAATAAAGCTTTTCAAAATAAACTGTACATTCATTTAACATTCAGCAACAACGTTAGCCACAAGCCAATGCTAAACGGAAATGAAGTATTTTCAGAATAAAACAGTTTTAAGCTTACAGTACTGTATGTTTAATCTAAATTTCGTCATTTAAACATTGATTTTAATTTCTTACACTTTGCATTGGAGTCTTGTGGTAGTTAGCCTAACGTTAGCTTTTTACTTCTGGCAATTGCATTTACGCTTCAAATACCTTAAACATTTAGTTAATATGTGGAATTATCATGCTGAACAAAAAGTGCAAGTTTAATAAATGTTTGTTTTTCTTTAATATTCCAAAATCCAATGGATAAATCCCATCAGCTTTTTATCGAGGGAGCCCTTGCCATGCTAACTTCTGGGTTGGGCTACAAAAAATGTGTCATCCCTGTACCTCTCTATTGGAGATTGAGTTTACTTGACTGCAGTTGGATCAAAGTCTGAAGTTTATGAACATATGGTTGGTAAATATTTTGAGTGCAAACAGTGACAGTTGGTGTCCAGCCTGCTCAGTCGGGAACTAACATAGTCAAACAATATTAACAGATGTGAACATGATAAAAAAAAGGGACTCATCCAATCAAAACATAAACAAAACAATCTCCACATAGCTGTTTTTTGAATTGTCCATTAAAGCCGAGTGGCATCTCAGGCCCACACAACTGAAAATGCGGTCGGAAAAATTGGCATGTAATGAATACATTTCCTGGTTGGCAGGAACATATTTGAATATAATTTCAACAGAGCTAGCTGAGGTACACTTTGTATATTCTGCTCACTGAAATTGCTTTGTGAAAAGATGAATTCAATTAATCAAACCGATTCCAACGCTATACTACAGTACTTTGAGAGTTTTCTACAAATGCTGTCTGCATATCTGATCAAACATCAGTCCAAAGTACTCAGCTCTGACTTTTTACATTTCTTTCTGTTTAGAAAGGGAAATAAATGTTCCAGTCTGGGAAAGACAATCATTTTTCTGTAACGCTTTAGATTGCAAGAGATATGGAGTGTGAATAAAACAGGAAATGTACAGAGTGAGCAGTCTTTAAGAGGGACACACAGTATACTGTTAACACTTAATATATGGAGGCAAGAGCATGCTGATAACTCCTATATGCTTTGTGCATGCCTGTCTGTATGCATGTATTAATAATGTGTGTATAAATACAAGTTTAGATATCGAAGATAAACGTATTTGTGCAATTTGTGCATGGAGGGGTGTGGTGCAGTGGGTTGAGCGTTGGTGTTGGGATCAGGGGGTCACAGGTTCAAACCCCACTGCAGTCAGCATGTCGTTGTGTCCCTGAGAAACTTCACCTCAAATTGCTCCTGTGGGGATTGAACCCAGTATTGAGTATGTACGTCGCTTTGGATAAAAGCGTCTAACAAGTAATGTGTGTATTTCTTTTTTAAGTTGCTGGTGTAAAATGTATTGGTCGAATGGTGTTGGAAAGCCTGATTCATAACTGTTTAAAAAGGAAATTGATTAGCATTATTAACAGAAACATGGGACCTTTGCATAGTTCACATGCTATGTTATTAAAGTACGTTGTGAGTTCCCCCCTTTTTGGTAATTCATTATTATAAGTTAGAGGGGTATGGATATAAGGTTGGATTAAAGAGTTGTGTTAACAGCCTGATTTAAGACAGTCATTCAACACGCTTTGTTGTACAGCAAAGTGAAGGGTTATAGTTTTTAAATTATGGTATAATACCAGGGAGAAGTAATGTGGTTCAGGGTCCAAACGATCCCTGCATGCGTCTATAAAATCATCAATTAAAAATAATGTAAGAGAAGACTTTGCCCAGGTTTAATGTCCTGTCATATCATCAGATCATAAAAAGTTACTGTATGCAGCTAAATACATGATTTGATGTGTCCTCCCGAGCTTCCTTGCAGTCAAAATGGCAGCAAGGCAACAAAAAACATGGATTTAATCATCTCATATCCTCCCTACATTTTGTAAATCATAACAAATCAGGTATGGAGTTAATCTACAAGACTCTCTGGTAAAAACAGACCAAATCTTTCTATGGATGTCAGTTTCTGAGCGATGATAACGACCAAAATGGGGCTTGTAACAAACTATGTAATGCTTGTTTTTGGCGTAGCCGATTGCCAGAAATGCCGTGCTGTGGTAGATCAATTTAAGCCCCTAATAGTCAGTTGAGAGGAGTGAGGAGTCGGCACTCAATGACGGTGCGAGACAGTCAATAAAATAGGTTTTTAAAAAGAAACGCAACCTCAGGAGGTCGTTAAGTATACATGAACACAAAAAAAAGTGCTAAAAGGGTCGGCTAGTATGCCGGATTAGCTGTAGAGTAAATCCTACATGAAGTTTAGTTCCTTTTAATGCCATAGCTATGGAGTGGTGCAGGAATGAGTCCTCAGGTTAGCATTGTACCACTAACGGCCCGTCCACACAGCAGCATTAAAAAAATCTTGAAAATCTTGGAGCTGGGCGTGTCTGAAAGCTTGGGGATTTTTTGCGAGCAACGCGACCAACAACCAATCACATGAATCTCCCGCCCCCGACATACAAAGCAAAAAACCCCGGGGATTTTATGCGAGCAATATATATATAAACTCCCCAAACAGGCGAAAACCTACCCGTTTCACCCACTGTCTCTGCCACCTCCCTCCATGCCTCCCAGCTTGCACGCGGTTTGATTGGCTAGCGCTTGTACTGTCAGATTTGCATAAACGGAATTTGATTGGCTGACGCTTCCAGCTCAGCTTCAAAAGTTGAACATTGCTCAACTTTTGAATCCTGAAAATCCTGGAAATCTTCGCTTTGCTTCCCCACAATGCAGTTCGGCGAAAAGCGAGGCAACGTGACGTCACCCCATTCAAAGTGAATGGGCAGAAGCGTTGGAAGATTTTTTATGTGTTTATATTTTCTTTATAAGCTATTGATATACTTGTTATTGATAATAATAAGTTACTACAATAAATGTCTTTGGTTCGTAGTGTTTGAATTAGACCACTGTGTATATTGTGCTAACAAAACCCGAGGGGGATAATAAGGTTTCAGCCGAAACGTCCCTGGAGGGAGGGAGAAGCCCCTCGG